CCCCCCTGGGGAACCGGACCAAACCCCCCCCCCCCCCCAAATATTTTATATTAGCCATTGGACCAACAATGCATATGGAGACTGCTTCTACTCGCTGTTGACATGTACTGAATGAATCTTGGTGAGAAAATTATTTTGCTCAGCTTTGTAGCATTCAGCTTACTATTAGAACTGCAAAGCAATTGGGGAGTTATCTTCAAACTTCCTTACTAACCTCAAAGACCTGGGTAGGAATTGGTGTGCTAATCATGCATGAAAACAACTTTTAGTGTATTCTTTTGATTAAAATATTTGTTGAACTGATGAGAAACTTGCCAGGACTTTCCACTCTGGAAAGGCAATAGCGAGAACGTGAAGGATGATGCGTGTTTGCAGAGGGAAAGGGTAACAACAGGAAAGCTAAAGTTGCTGAGACTTAGAAGGGAGCTGTAAGCTGCACTACTGGAACTGCACCACGGCACAGGTACTACAGTTAAGAGTGGAAGCTGACGCTAGGAAGTCTCAGATAAGGTTTTCTAGGGAAGAGTTAAAGTCCGTGACTTGGTATCTACATACATTAAGCTGGCACTAGCTGCTTTTCACATTCTATATACTGATACCAAGCTAGAGGGGAGTCTAAGTTGCTGAAATGAAAGTACTTTGATATTTTGGTGAGGGACCACAGAGCTGTCAGTACGTGGGTATTTATACCGCGCTCATCACATCTATTTGGAAACTGCTTACAGATACCTGGTGAACTCCTGCAGTAGTCATAACTAACTCTCCTCTAATGACTAGTTTGTTACTGATATGCCAGCTACTAAAGGTGAGAAATGAGGAAGCAGAGCAGAAATACCAAAGGACCCTTTAAGAGGTACAGAAAAATCCAACAATTTCTACTTTCATTTTAGTACGTACCTTGTGACTATAGACTGTTGCCTTGACCTGGTGTAATCAATGTTTGGATTTTCTAATTATTTAGAGATTTATAGCCAACAAAGTCAGTTATGTGAATTACGAGAAAAAAACATTCCTTCCAACTTTCCAAGCACTTGAATTCAATTACACCATGTACTATTCAAGCATTTCAGTTTTAGCCCTTGGATTATGAGCATTTCATGACACACAGCCAAATTTTCAGCATGTTGCTTATGGCTCTAAGGAGTCCAGCATATACAAAAAACGGCAGGAACCTAATCATCCTGTTTAAGAATATTAATCTCCTTTTTGTCAACATTTGGTTCAACTCAGCCCTGGATAAATAAAAATCCTGGCTTGTGCCAATTTCATGCCATTTAAGTGGACGCATTTATTTACACTCCCCCCATTTATTTACACTTCTCCCACGGTGTAAACGAGGCTCCTTCTAGAAGTGATAAATCCTTGGCTCCTGTTACAATTGATCGTTACAGACTTTCTATAACCAATGAGCCCACCATGAGCGTATTTATTTGTGAATAGCTGTCAAAGAGCAAGCAAAAGGAGGATGCTTTTATAGGCTTGAATAACCTAACACCACAGTACAAATACACATTGAAAAAATAAATGGTTTAAAAAGCTCTTGAAATCTAAAGAATACGTCCTACTAGTTTATAGCATCTTTTAGACAATTCCACGTTTTTATTCTGTTATTAGAAGCTCTCATTCTCTTCTCCCATCAGAATGCAATAGCATGAGGGACATGCTGGGCAGAACAGATTGGCAGCTGCTGCCTTCCTCCAGCCTACCTTATTGCAACAAACTTGAAAGCACATTATCTGCGCAGTCCAGTAGCATTCTTCAGGACTGAGGTTGCTCAGTTACTTGTATTGTTCATCTGGGTAGATAAAAACACTTTACAATTGTGGTACTTCGCTTTTGAATCAGTCATTAGGATCACCTGCTGTAACTCTAAGGCCAGACTACGCAACACACACCATCTAAGTATATGTGCAGTCTTACGGTACATAGAGTTTGTTCTTCCCCAACCTTTCACTGCTGAATCACTAGCTATGGGATGAAACGTCCAGCTTCTGAGAGGGACAGAGACAATTCATCCAAAAACCCACTGCTGAGAAGAGAGGCAGCAAGTCACAGGGCAAGAACTTAACTAAGTCCTGTCAGGACAGATGTTTACAATTCACACTTGTAGTGGAATGTCCTCCCTGCTCTGGTTTACGTGGGATTAAACAGATTCTTGTGGACTAGTACATACTGCTCATTGTTTGCCTCATGTATCCATGATCAGCAAAGTTTCCAAGCTCTTAGCCAGCTACTCAAAGGCTTGGAAAGAGCCCTTAGCTTTGTCCGTCTTCTTCATTGGAATCTTATTAATTGAGCTGATGCATATTCCATATCACTAGGACAGATTTAGGTGGACATCTTAGACAGATGCCTAGATGATAAACAGTAAGATCTATCTACAAGGCCTGACTAAACACACCATTGAGACAATATATCCTGGATCAGATCACTCATGTTTAAACAGTTCATCAAAACAAACACTCCCAATTTCCTCACTAATGTAACTGCTCTGCAGTCAAGAGAGTTAAATTAGGAATGAACATCCATGCGACTGATGTGCTATGTTTGAACATATAACATTATTTTAAAATAATTGATTGCAGCCTCAAACTTACTTTCGAAAGAGCGCAATGGGTGGCTTATGTCAAACCCAACATAGCTGGACTTTCAAAGAGAATCATTAATTATCTAGGACATAAAGCAAAAAGAGTGCTATTCTTAGGAGGATATAGACTTTTTTAGTCTCAAAGAGTAAGAGGAAAGAACCTTACATAGTTCGGGGAAAAGAGATACTATGCTAAATTATAGTCTTCCAATGCTCTTTAATGAAATCAGTGGAAAAAAAAAAAAAAAAAAAGACTAGCTCTTACCAGGTAACTTAAGTCATCTGAAGTAGGGGAAGAGAGGTCAAAATGCTACGAAAAGGATGTTAAAAGTAGTCTTGCTGGGTAGTTTAGAATTTGTGCATGCCAGTGCATACTTCCATTATCTGGGTTTGTGCAAACTCTCAGCGCAAACTAGGGAACCATAGATAAAAAACATACCAAAACAGTATGATTTCTCTGCCTATCAATCAAAATAAAAGGCTGTATCTACAACTGTTTCTCAACCCCATTAATACTGTGCCAGCTACAACAGTGATAGCATGCAAGGCTCCCAAACAGGCTTTCTACCGTTTAATTCCTGTCTTGTGCAGATCTTATCCAAGCAGAACTGAACAATAGAAGGGCTAACAATATAGTTTAACAAACAGCTGAAAACCTGCTCCTAACAGAATTTTAAAGCCAGACTTATACTCTGAACTTTCACTGCCATGAATCGATTATACTTGCAAAGAATTATGGTGGTCCTTGACTGGCAGCAGCAGTACACAGTCCTGATGTAGATACAACTCAAAGAACAAAATTTTCTGAGTCATTTATCTTGTTGCATCTGGAAGACTGATGATCTTCCTCACTCAGTACAAAGTATAGCTTGGCCAATCTAGCCACATCAACACTTTCACCATTTGGCTGGTATAGAACACTGATATTCTAAGTGAAGTTGTTTGACTGTAAAATCACACTGTTGAGAAATTCAAACCAGAATTGTGAACTATAACTCCAGGCCTTTTACTGTGAATCTTTGCAGCAGGCACAAATGGACCCTTAGATACTACTGCAGCACCATAAAAATTAAACAGGGAAGATGTTCTTCTATGTTTTAACTTATCAAAAGCCAGAAATGCCACAGGACTTTGGCAGCAAGAAAATTCCTCGCTGCATTAAGAAGGCAAGAGTGGAACATACAGATAGGAACGAGAAATTCCTGAAACTCTGTAAGCGGAATTAAACATTTATGGAAAATCGTATTTACACTTTTAAAATAACATAGCAAAAGAAGCTTGATGATAGCTGTAAGTTATTCCAAACTATGTATTGAGAAAGCACATGTTGTCAATCCTTTTCTGTGTAAAAAGCCATTTGCTTACAGTATATAACACTATACTTGCAACTAGGTATTAGTGAAGAACGCCAAAGCGGCTGTTCGCCATGCTAGTCTTTCTGTCGCGGCCAATCATCCTGATTTGCCCAGAGTATCATGCTGTTTAGGACATTTCATGCAGTCCTAGCACAGCCTTATTTATTGTACTCTATAGGAAGACACCCACTAATTTTAAAAGGCATCAGATTCAGCCCTCCATGGACAGTCCTTATTCTGATCCACAACCACCTCAACATTTTCACTGTGACCCAAAACAGGATCTCCCATACCAAATACACAGTACGCTTGCTGTTCCTACACTACCAAGTGAGCATAACGTACTGATTTTGTAGTCTCTTCACTCTTTTCTATACCGAACACTTCCACGAGCTCTGCAGACACCTTGTGAGATTCTGCAGTTCAAATTATTCTTTCCTCTCAGCAGGACAACGCGCTACCACTGACTCCTGCAGCCTCATTGTTCTCCCCAATTAAGATTTCCAAGAGTCTGAGAATCGCTCCTGACCTTTGCTCAGCATACCCCCTGGAGAGGCCTGACATGATAATCTGACTAGAGATGAGACAGGGACAAATAAGACACTTACTGTTTTACAAAGATTCATTATTGCCTCCCTGGGAATATCAAGGTTATAGGTCCACCTAAAGCTCAGATGAGAGGAGTACAACATGCCGGAAGATTACTAGTATGCAATAAATGAAATACAGTGTTACTACTTTTCATTATTTCACTTTGGCTTTGGCTACTCTGTGCCGTCTTCATTCACATCCTTTGTAGCATTTACCAAGTCACAAGGCACCTCGTCAGCAGTGTGTTTTTCATTTTTCCATCTGACATCCTTTCAGCACAAGTTCCTGTACTGATGAAACTCCAGTTAGATGCTATGGGGGGGGGGGGGGCCAATCAGGAAAGCCTGGTACTCCATTAGAAAGAAACAGGTGCTAGGAGATGATGCAGCTTTCCTTGTTAATGTCTTCACTCAACAGTAAGTAAGAGCTATACATAGTATTTTAAGGAACTAATTTTAACTTCCCTAAATAACAGCAGACCACCTAGTTTGGGTGAAAGAGGACTGCAAACAGGTTACTAATAGCAACAATGTTTTACTTTGGAATATGCTAATTTAGAAATGCAGAAAAGAAGTGACCAAAACTTATCAGTAGTGTTCATGAGAAAACAATCACACTTCAGTCCGAAATACACTTGTTCATAGCAAAGCTAAATTTGATCTCAGATATTCACATTAAACCAGCAGAACACAGTTCTACTGAATATTAGTATTCAACTGCTAGTAGAACAATAAAACTGGAACACACATATACTGCAAATAAGTCAGTCACATCTGCCCCTACTCAGAGGAAATCAAGATTGCAAAAGCACTGAGAGTAACATAAATTGGCAATGCCAGAGTTATCATCCTAGCAATTTACAACAACAGATCCTGCAAATTAACGTTGCAACATAGTGGCAGAACTGCGTTAACAGCCTAGAAAATAGTAGAGGGGCGGTTCAGTCCTCAGGTGCATTAAACCTGGAAAAAAGCCAATTGCTGATCCACCATGACAACAGTAAATAGCACAGTCTCAAGAAACACTATTAAGCAGCAAGTTCCTCTTCAAATACCTGAATATATAGTACTAAAAACTCCCAGTAGAGTTCTGTCAAAAATAAGTGAAAGAGACTCGCAAGTGAGAACAGGCCTGGAAGTCTCACCCCATGGCAGAAGTAGCTGAGCGTTTTGTAACTTCTCATGTAATTTTTGTCCTCCCAGAGAAGGCATCTCATTTCAATACATGGAGAAATATGGCCTTTGTACATTGAGCAACTTGTCCAAGATCACACAGGAACTAAAACAATGTTATAACCCTTTACTACCTGCCTGTGAGATAATTCTCTCCTCTCTACAGGGAACGCCTCCCAGCCATATTTTTCAAATTCCAGTTCAGGAATGTGGAGTACAGCTCCGGTAGGAACAAAACCTTCCTGTGTTATGTTGTGGAGACCCAAGGCAGAGAGTCAGTAACATCTCGGGGTTACCTGGAAGATGAACATGCAGCAGCGCATGCAGAAATTGCTTTCTTTAACACAATTTTGCCAAAGTGTGAATCAAGCGTCCGCTACAACATCACCTGGTACGTCTCCTCCAGTCCTTGCGTGACTTGTGCTGATCGGATAACCGAGACCCTGAGAAAGAACAAGAACCTGCGTCTGACCATCATGGTAGGGCGCCTCTTCATGTGGGAAGAGCCAGAAATGCAGGCTGCCCTGAAAAAAATGAAGGCAGCTGGCTGCAAGCTGAGGATTATGAAGCCTCAAGACTTTGAGTATGTCTGGCAGAACTTTGTGGAACAGGAGGAAGGACAGGAAGCGAAGGCTTTCGTGCCATGGGAGGACATTCAAGAGAACTTCCAGTATTACGAGGAAAAATTGAATGAGATTCTGCACTGAAGCTCACGTGAGTGACCGTTTCCATTTGCTCACCTAGCTCCTTCCATTAGTATTACAGACCCCTCTCTATCTTCAGGTTTTTTAAGGCACAACACGGAGTCATTTTCAGCTACTGCTGCTCCCATATGTACCTGGCTGGGATTGCTAGTATCTGCATATCTAAACTCTCCTTAGCAGTGCCTTGCCCCTTGAAGGGGAGTAACACTAGGACAGGCTCCTCCACAGCAGGCACTCAAGGGATTCAGAGCTCTTTTTCCCCAGAGTAAACATCTCCAAGAATAAGAATTATAACACAGGGTCACTAGACGCAACAAGAATGCTCACTGCTCCCTGCATGCACAGCACTCGGAACACGGGTGGAAGCAGTGGAGAAACGTAGAGAAAAGGGGAAACTCTCCCTCTCCCCCACCACCAAATTCTAGCCCTCTAAGAAACACTAAAAGGAGGTCAGAGTCATCATTGCAGAATTTCTTTCTCAAGAGGTTAGTCACCTATTTTAAGTCATAAAATATGGAAGCACTTGTAGCTTCTAATGTGCCTATCTTCCCCTCCCCCAGGACCTATTTAGAAAAGATCTGTGAAGAGAGATGTGACAGACTTGGACATCTGGGACACTCCTTCAGCTTTTCAAAGCTTTGACTCCAGCCAGTTGCAGTACCAACTCCTGGAAAACTGGGCCCTAATGAACTACAAATACATCTACCACACAGCTCTCTGGTGTTTAGGATTTGGGTTTTTTTGTTTGTTTGTTTTTTCCCAAACAAATATGCATTGCCTCTGCTGATTGGAAAAGAGAAAGCAATACACTGTGTGGTTAAATCCTTGAATTAAATGGATTGCAGTGGATCTACAGGAAAGGGTGTGGGTCTCACATACTGGGACAACTGTAAGAAAAAGATCTTGGAGCAAAGCTGCCAATTTAAAAAAAAAAAATAATTAGAAAGTGTGTACTTCATAAATCTTAGAGAGAAAGAGATTTAAAAGGAGAGAATTAGAGGATTTAGTCTCCTGTCATCCCCAAAACTCAGAACTGGGATTTAAATTAGGGCTAACTGGCCTATTCCAGTGCAGAGGATTATGATGGAACCCTTTGGGTAACACAGGCACTTGATTTAAAATACACCAAATCTTTTCTCCCCTTGTTCAGAGATTTCTGCAATATAAAACTGGGGAAGTAAAATGAGTGAAATAAAATTGGTAGCCACTGCAAAAACGCATAGCAGTGCGTTTCTTCTTCTCTTTTTGAAGGAGGTCCTAAATTTAATCTGACAAGCAAGATATCCTGGGACAGCCACATATGAAATATTTCATAGCTGAAGTGCAGTGTGATGAGAAGGGAGAATTACTGTACGCCAAAAAAATTTCAGGAGTGCGTACAAGCGTGGGAGACACACAGGGAAAGAAAATATGGGCATATGACTTTCCATAGAAAACAAGACACAGACCAAACAAACATCACAGGGAAGCTCATTAGCTAAGAAACTGAGTCAGATAGGGTTTGCTCTTCCAACCAGTCCTTAACATTAGTTTCTGTCGCATCGTCACAAGCTGAATGGTGCCAGACACACACAAAACTGCTGACCGCACTTGTCTCTCACCTCAGTCAGCTGCACTAAATTTTGGCATAAACTTTCAAGGCAGAAAAAACAAGCTGCAATGGGAGCACCTTTGTGGAGCCATTGTGGATTTAATCTCTTTGCCACTAGATGCAAAAAACAAATATAAGTAAGTACAGAGACTGAATGAGCAGTCTTGATGCCCATCCTTGATTAACTCAATACTCAAGCTCCTATTTGTCTTACTCAGGTTTTTTTTTTTTTTTTTTTTTTTTACAATTGCATATCTGCTACAGAAATTATCTACCAAAAACAAGTTTACAAAGAAATAAAGGACGGTCAATGAACAGGGAGAGAAATAACACAAAGCTGTTAAAGACACCAACAGAATTTGCAGAGTTACATCAGCAAAGAAAACACACAATACATATTCACCCACAATGCTAAGAAAAAAAAAAAAAGGCTCCATACGTTTAACGTTTAGTGAGAAGTAATTATTAGGAACACTCTTTTATGCTAACAACTTCTCTAACCATTACGTCTCATCTGTTAGGTTTATTCAACATATTTGGAAGTGCCTGGCATTTTTCTAGGCATTGAGCATAACGGAGTCAGAAGATTTGTTATTATGGCAGCGTAGGGGGGAATCAAGTATAAAAGATAGTAAGATTATATGACAGCTCTTCAGTACTGAAACCAAACTTTTCAAAGAAACAAACGTTTACCAATGGTCTGATGCATTAAGTGTGCTACTTAACTGATTTGCTTTTGCAGTTCGGTAACATCAGACACCAACCCACATATAACAGCTAAACTACAAAGGCAGTAAAAAATTCCATAGGAACACCAACCCATATATTCAGTACTGCAACCTTTTACAGCACATCAATACTTCATGAGTGAGGATTCTCAGCAAAGCGAGTTCTGCAGACTACACCAATTATATGCACCTACTAGGCATTTTCCCCACATCTACAGCTTTCTCTTTCAAAACCCAGCTTTCCTCTAGAATACAGCTACAATAAGTACAGACATAGGTATGGTTTTTCACAAGGGACTGCGATTTGATCTGACAGCAGAGTACTGAAAAGCTATTTACTTAATATTGACAGCATAGTTCTTAGTAAGTACAATCTCATTAAAAAAAAAAGTATCTGTGCCCAGAAGATAAAAAATTAATTTTTAATCCTTTACAGAATACAGGTTACTTACTCTGTTCTTTATATGAACATTGCGAAACTTTAAAACAAAAGTGTCAGGGGCTCCACAGCTCATCATTATGAACCAGAACAACAAACCAACAAACATTCACCTAAGCACTAGACAGCCCTAATTTCACTCCACAAGGGGACTGCCACCTTTGCAGCAGAGGCTCTGGCGTAGGCAGGTGCTTGGTGGAAGAGCAGTGACATCTGGTGGTTTGCTAGGACACACTGTAAGCTCCCCAAGGGCTTCCACAAGACCCCCGCCTTCTTCACAGGATCCCTAAACACTACATTCCAAACTAGCTGCTCTGGGTTTTATCTTTTTAAAGTTACTGCCACTGACAACACAACAGTGAGCTATGCTCAGAAGAAGAATGTGCTCAGCATGCAGTTTTCCCCCGACCGGTTAAGAAGTTGACGCTCCTGAAAGCGGGGGAAATAAGGCTATCTTTACAATCTTTTGATCACAGAGTGTAAACTGTGATCTTAATATCTGTGTCTTCAAACACTTCCCCAAGTATTGCTGAAACTTTACTCCAGTCCAGGCGGTCAAGTCCACATCCAATCCTGGAAAATAAGACACCAAAACAGCTATCGTGAGCTCTTTTGGAGCATACTGGAAACAACCAGCCCTTCAAACAGCTACGATTTTATACAGCACTAACTCAGCTCACCACAAAGCAACAAAAGGCAGCGAGAAAGTGGAAATAATCAAGCCTGAATGTTGTGCTATCATTTAACTCCAGTGAAAAACACAAATTGTATTTGCACAATTGAACTGAAGAGTTACATCAAAGCAAATACTTGAACTCTTATTTGATGCTAGAGAGTCATCTCTTAAACGTTCTTCTGCCCTAGAAACACTGAAATATTTACATCCTAGTACCTAATTTTCTTACCTAGGCATGGAAATGTCAGTAACTCCATTGTTGAGACAGTGAGTTTTCATGGCTTCTAAACTCTTTCGCATATTCTCATATGTTGGTTTGTGGGAAACTTTCTTCTTCGTAATCTAAGTACAAACACAGAAGGTCAACCGTGCTTTAGGCATGATCATTGCAAAATATTTTCTTTTTGAAAAATACACTCCACTAAACCCCAAAACTGCAAACCCAGACTTGCTACTTTAAATGGTTACTTGGAATAATAATTACGTGCCATAGGTTAAAATAGCATAATTTAGCAGCTAGTTTTACTAACTAAAAGTCTAAATGCATGTACACAAGTTAGCTTGGCTTCTTATCAGCTAAGGAGACTGAATCCATCTCACACTTCGTATTTATAATGTCTACCAAAAACTTTATTTAGAACATCTACCAAAAAAAAAAAAACACACACAACACAGCTATTATTGCCCTCACCATAACATCTAATATAGCTTAGTTACAAGAAAACACCTGAGTTGCATACATCTCTTACCAGGTAGTATATATATCGGTCGTCTCTTTGTAGAACTGCCACCTCCCCAGTTTTCTTTTCTAAAGTGAAGAACAACAAGATCTTTTTAAAACAATTAAAAGTCAATACCTAATCTCCCCTGCACCCCAAGTAGCTTGGAATACTCTTATTGCTGGAAATCAACGCCTGCCCATCCGGTCCTGCGTGTCCATCACACGCGTATCACTCACGTTGATCTAACAGCTCTTGTACACCTCCAAACTTCTTCTTAAAAAGAACAGCTATGCCTGCACCCATGCGACAGTCCTCGCTGATGCAATGAGCCAACGAGTCCGTCTGGGGACATGAGAAAAGGTCCCCCTTAACACACTTGATCTGAAAAACAACACAAACACCAGGGTGAATTTAAAAAAAAAGGCAGGTGCCGATTCAGGTAAGAGAATCTTTGGAATTGGGCAAGCCTGTACAATAAGGAGGGTAAGATTAAGATCGCTTACAAGTAAATGAATTAGTATGGATTATGAACCCAACACATAGCTCTCTTCTACAAAGTCAGTCACAAGTATCACAAGCCAGCTACTCAGTTCACTTTACAAAATCAAGGCTGAATAAGGAAAAGGATATAACACAGAGCGCAACTGTTTTGGTGCACATCTTCAGCACACTTTTAGTGCATCAGTGCCCAATATCCCCAGACGTTTACTTAAACAGATAAGCTCTGTGCTAATGTACATCATCCGTATCACCGATACAAGCACAGGAGCACTGTAAAGTTGACAATATATTACTTTAATATCAGCCACTTTCCCCACAAAAGCAACATGGTACAACTGCCCTGTTATTAGGGGACAAGAAGGACTCTTTACAAAGAGACACATCACAGCAGCTCAAATAACCCATTTTCTACGCACTCTCTCCCCCTGATCCTTGAAGAAGTGGGTGGCCATGGTAACGTGGGCTATGGTGAAGACTCCTTCAGCTGAAAAGATGACAGAGAGAAAGAGAGTTATTAGGAACCCCAAACTGGGAAACAAGCTGCTGTGATAGAAGGCGCAAGGCTGAGACTGCCTATTAATGGGATACATGGGGCAGACAAAACAGCCCCTGGGAAGAGAGAGGAAAGGAAGCCAGCTTCCCTGCTGCAGCCCCACAGCTCCAGCCTACTGAGGTGCAAGGCAGGCCCCAGCCTAGGGTTACCACAATAATCAGCACCCACAGGCCTTGCACCTTCCTTCAAGCCACCCCGGCCTCTTCAGGAAGCCCTTCAGTAGGCCAGACCTGCAGGCACAGCACGAAGAAGGAGTCGCCGGGCCGGGCCTTGTGCCACGAACAGCCTCCCCAGTCCTCCCCACATGAGCCAAACCAACCCGTACTCTCCACTGGGGCAGGCTCATCGTCACACAAAAATGGCCGCCCCTGCCTGCTTGTCTCTCTAGGCAGGCTGGAGGAGCGCCCTCTCTATGATGCTCGCCGAGAACATTCCGAAAGCCAACCTACCCGTCCCACAGGCGCCTGCGCAGATCGATCCGAGGCGGAGCCTAGGGAGAAGACAAGAAGAGGGGGTGGGGCAGCAGCCAGCGCGTGCGCGTTGCAGGCCGCAGCGGCCGGATGAGACGCGCGCGCTCCCCTCGGCGCAGGCGCAGTAGTCGCGGTGGGGGGCCGGGCGCGGGTGGGCGGTGCCTTGTACGAAGGGCCTCGACGAAAGAGGCGGGG